TACGTCGGCTGCGGTGTCTCTTGCGGATCTGGGTTGATGCAGTTGATGAAGTGTTGTTGTAGCATAGTGAACCAGGCTGACGGTGCGTCGAGATGATACCCTGAGCGTTGGTGGCTATAGTTGAAATCCCCAGAGAGAATCAGCCGTTCGCGATAGGGATGTTGTTGATTAAAGATGGTTGAGTTGTAGTGGGATGTGAAAAATTGCCGTCGTTGGGTTGGCGACGTTGCTGGTGCATAGATGGTAAGTATATAAAAAGGCTGAAAAAGTCGTTGGTGGTGTTCGACTTTAACGAGAAGATGTCGAGGGTTATCGAATACTGAGATTTGTGTGAGACTGAGGTCGGCGCTAAGTGATATAGTGCATTCAGATAATAACCACTACAAACTTTAAATCAACTTTGAAACCCCATAACTTTACCAAAAATAAACATTTATTAGTTTTGAGCCATAAGAATTATAGATGAACATCGTTAGAAATGATATTATGGTTTACATTCTCAAGGAACAAAAATGTTATGGGCCATTAAAAATAGTCAATGAAGGGACTATTTGGCTGGGGATAAGAAAAATTGAAACATGTCATCGACTGTCGACCTTAAAAAGGTGCTTGTGTAGCCTTGTGTAACCACGTCTGTTATAGAGCTGTTATTCCTATTTGCTATCATACATTTTGCTTCTCTCTTCTTTTCTACTATCTCACAAAGATGGCGCCTTGCTCTAAACGTCAAAAAACTACTTTTAATAAGACTAGTCAAAGTGGAGCTTTCACTCCATCAGATAGTAGTGTAGAAAACAGACAGTAAAATGTTGTGAGAAACGAGAAGACTGGGAGTTACTTGGAATAACGAGAAACAACCTTTATCAGATTAATACTGCAGTTATCTTACCCTAGGAGTTTTTTGCATTATATCCTAGGTAGCACTGTAAATGTAATTTGATTGAACGTATTTGGGGTAGAACCAAGAAGTGTGAAGTTCGTCTAAAATGTGTATACACTTTTAAAGCGTTACAAGAACATTCACATGATTTTCTTGATAGTGCAGGCAAACTTGTTACTAGCTAAAGGTATTACAATCACTGCTTATGATACATCAAGCCTACAGTCAAGATCTCAATGCTGAAGGAGCCACTGAAGAGGCTCAAAAGTTTACCAGCATAAGCTTACATCTCATAGAAAACCAGGCATCCACAACTAATTTTCGCTCTTCCATTCCTCCATGAATATTGCTTTTTACTACCACTTAGCGGAATATAAGAATAAAAAATTTGAAACAAAATAAGGTTTGTTTCGATTATTATCTGAATGCACGATACGATGCCGCAATGATGTGTCCAGAATGATTGCGTTGCGTTGAAATAACAGTGGAATTTGTCCTTCTGTGAGGGTGTTGATATACAGTATGTGTTTCTTGCAAAGTGATGATATGTAGTTGATGTTGTTTGATATGTCGAATGAGTTGTGTTTTGTTGGGTGTAAGTAGTCCATTGCAATTAATGGACGCGAGTGAGATATCATTGTTTTTTACTACAGTATCATAAAAATTATTGAGAGAGGAGTGAGGGTTGATCCTCACTGGGATTGCATTCGAGCTGCGATTCTGTAGGTACGCGTGCACTTAGGTCGGAAGGGGAGCCTGAGCTGTTGTCTGAGAGTAAACTTTGTTCATATTCTTGCAGGCTGATGTCTCATTGGCGTGAGAGTCGGACATACAGGACTTGTTTCAGGTCTGCAGGGAAGTGTGCATCTTATAGGATCTCCTTGGCAGTGTCTGAGAGTTCCATGCTATCTATCCAGTCCTTAGGAGGGCTGACTTCCGAAAGTAGATCTTGTTCTTCAGCTGGGATCGTCAGTCTGATAGTCCGCAAATTCTATGATGATGTCGTCAAGTGCTTGTTCAAGGTACCCTCGTCGCATGAAAATGAAGGAGCAATTGACCACCTCTTTTTGGGTGGTTTCCACGTCTGTTGCTAATTTGTCGTCGAGTATTAAATCATAATAATAAATTATGTGGTAAACCACAAATTTATTTATTATTCTTAATACTGTCAAGCATTCTAAAAAAAATCTAACTTCGTTGATTTTTTATTGAACTGGGCGTCGTCGTACCTCCTAGCCTGTGTTAAATTAATTATAAAAGGTTATAACTCTTTAAAAGGTTTAAAAAGGTTTATGCAAAACCTAAACCTTTAAAGAATTAAAAAAAGTTTAAAAAATAAAAAAATTATAATATAATTTTTTATTTTTTCCTAAACATAGTTAAACAATGATATATCCTTAATTAATAAAACCTTGTAAGGTTTTACAGTTAAGGATTAACCCCCGTCATTGGTATCCAAGTTTTCCAGAGGAGCAAACCAGTTGGTTGGTTCCACAGGCTTACAGTCATGTGTTTAGACTTCAGGAGCTCCTTCGAGGGGGCTTAATCACGCGTCTGACCAGTCTTGCGGCGGCTTGTTTTGTTGCCGCCAGGGGTCCAGTCCTCGCTGTTTCGCACAGTGGGCAGCTTGTAGCATAGTGGTTCTGAGCACCACAGTTGAAGCATCCTTTCTGGTTACATCGGGCGCCCTGGCTCATGGCAGCACGAGCAGTGGAGCAGCATCTGATCAAAATTGGCATAGATCAACTCTTCCTGGTCGCCGCACCAGGGAATATGATGATCAAGGGCGTGGAGTTGTTGATTATGTCGTGGCTGTATATCCAGGACGGGAAATCGTAATAGCTTCCTCTTCTTCCTCTTTCTGAATCATTAGTTAATACACAATGTCTGACTTGACCGAAGGTAAAAAAAAAAAAGGCAAAAGGCAAAAGAGCCATTGATATTTCACGATCACGTACTAACATTTTTTATAATCCCCCTTCTTTTTTGATAATAGCTTTTCAAGAATATTTCAAGATCGCAAATCATCCCAACTTACTGACCTTTGTCACGAAGAATGAAAGCATCGTCAAAAAATGGATCGCATATCATAATACTGTGGAAGAAGCAACCAGGGCATTGAAGAACAAGATGAAACACGTCTATAATCAAACATACCCAAAAAGAACATCGGGACCGACGCTGAAAGTGGATTTAACAGAACTATTTGCTACAGTGAAGACAGACCGGGCGATTCTTTCAGCAGGGGAAAGGACAGCTAATGAGCAATATAGGTACCCCCCTCTAATTATAGATAGAGTCACGCATCGGACCTCAAATTTTACCTACATATAGTTCAGTATCTGGATTTTTATATCTCCAATTTTCTAAACCACAGCGCAGAAATTACAAGAGAACTGGCTATTTGAAGCTAAGAGGTCAGTTTTTGTAAAAGTTCACATTTTTAAAATTTTGAAGTTTTATATAACTAGGTATAATAGCTACAGAAACATACTACTAAAAGCTATATTGTAGCGAGATGTGTTGAGCTCAGAGAAATACTAGAAGATAAGTAATCGTTACTATGATATCTAAGGGATAAGGGTATATTTGATCGAAATTTCAATTAGAGAAAGATATAAAGCTCAAGAGTTATCAGTAGTAAGTACATTAAAAGTGACTAATAATAATTGCATTTTATAAAAGAACCTTGTTACATAAGAAAAAGAAACCTTGTTATATTGGGAAAAAGAAACTTTGTTATATAGGAAAAAGGATGACTTATACAGGAATATAGATGACAAATATAAATCTGTGTGAGAAGAATGACATAATACTGATTACTAAATAATTTTGCTGTAGCAATAAAAAGAACACTCTAAGAATATAAAAAGGGCTAAGTATAATTTTTCCAACCAGTATCTCATCTTCCTCAACTTTATCCATTTTTATTTTACCATGTCTTTTACCCACCCTAATAACCAATTCCCTTCTATAAGGAGATTTGCCGAGTTGATTGCCGAGTTGATTGCAAAGCCTAGTGATGCTATCTCGTAAGGGTTTCACTTTATTTTTATTAATAAGTAATATATGATAAATAGTTTTACTGATTACGAAAATTTACTTGAAATAGTTTTCTGATCGAAATGGTGCCTTCAATGAAACAATGTACTGTGATAATGGCTCTGAGATGCATATTACCTGGCCTCCAAGTCAAAAACGTCCTAGATGGCGCTGCACAAAAAGCTGTTGTAATAGGACTACAAAATCTGTTAGCAAGGGGTCATATTTCTATAGTAGGAAGGCAGACTTAGGTGATATCCTATGGACCCTACATGGTTTTATTACTGGTAATTCGGTAAAGGCTTTGACAAAGGTGACGGAACTTGACCGTCGTACAGTTGCACAGATCATCTTTGATGTTTACCAGATCATGGATAATGATATTACAGATGATGATATTACTTTGGGTAAGTTTATATATTTTTCTTTTCTCCTTATTTTAAAAGAAACTAAAAGTTTTTATTAGGTGGACCTGGTGTAACCGAGGTACAGATTGATGAGAGCAAGTTTGGCAAGAACAAGTACCATCATGGCCATTCAGTTCTAGGTGTTTGGGTCTGGTAGAAAACCGGCCTGGTCAAGCAGGAAAGGCCTTTCTTATATTGTTCCAGATAGAACAGCTGATACATTGATTCCTTTAATCCAACAATATGTCCGTTCTGGTACAAGAATCATTTTAGACTGCCATCATCCTTATATGAGGCTGCGCCAGTTAGGATATGGTGCATTCAGATAATAACCGACACAAATTTTAGGTCAACTTTGAAGCCCCATAACTTTACCAAAAATATATATTTTTTAATTTTGAGCCATAATAATTATAGATGAACATCTTTAGAAAATACATTATGGTTTATTTTTATAAAAATGTCTTAGAAAAAAAAAGTTATAGGCCATCAAAAATAGTGAATAATGGGAAAATTTAGCTGGGGACAAGAGAAATTGAAACATGTCATCAACTGGTTGGACCTAAAAAGGTGCTTGTGTAACCGTGTGTAACCACGTCTGTTATAGAGCTGTTGTTCCTATTTGCTATCATATATTTTGCTTTTCTCTTCTTTTGTACTATCTCACAAAGATGGCGCCTCGCTCTAAACGTCAAAAAGCTACTTCAAATAAGACACGTCAAAGTGGATCATTCACTAAATCAGATAGCAGTATAGAAAACAGGCTGCAAGATGTTGCGACAAACGAAGTTACTTTCATCGATGAACAAGAAGACTGGGAGTTACTTGGATTGACAAGAGGCGATCTTTATCGAATTAATACTGCAGTTATCCCATCCCCAGGAACTGACTCAAATACTCTTGAACGTACAAGGGTGGATGGAGCTGATGATTATCTGAATGATCATCGCTATCATGGTAATTCGCGTACTACCAACTGGCGGAAACGTAAGGAAAACGAGAAGGCCACTTCAAATATGCCAGACGTAAGAAAACAGGTCAGCATAAGACAGTTTTTTCAAACGATGCCTGAACCTGACGACGACGACGACGACGACGACGACAACTACGAATAGCAAGAAGTCACTGATCAACAAAAGCTACAGCTAGCGTATGACAAACTTAAGACGGAGACCAACCCTGATATCTCAAGCACATCCGAGTTCAATATGAGACTTGCTTTCGAAACCGCTAGACTGAACTCGGTCAAGTTCTACTTACAGTTTCGAATCTAAGGTTCAAAAAAGATGAAGACATCCAAAAAAGCCAGTGACTTGGTCTGGGAGACACCTACCACCTACCGTTATCAAGTCATCAGATCATGGAGCCAAGAATATCTTGAAAATGGCTTTTTGACGCCATATAAGCAGGGCAAACACGCCAAAAGAAAATCAGTACTCAATGATGAGGATATTATGGCAGCAGCATGTGCCTGGCTTCAATCTTGAAGGCCTGAGAAGTGAAACACTATAGAGCTTCAAAAGCATCTCGACGAATGCATGATCCCAGATAAACTCGGAGTCCCAGGCAACATTGCATTGAGCATTATATGGAACTACATACACGAGTGGGGCTACATTTATCGTCGTAACAGCAAAGATATCTACTATGACGGCCACGAACGTCAGGACGTCGTTGAGTATCGTAAAAAATGGGCACGGCAAATGATGAATTTCGTCGAGCGCACCGATACTTTTCTTGGTGATGATATGAGAACCGTTATACCACCAGAGCTTCGACCAGGACAGCAGAAAATCGTATTTGTTACCCATGATGAATGCACTTTTTATGCCAACGACGGAAAAAGCACACTTTGGCTACAAGAAGGCGAAAATGTCCTACGTAAAAAAGGACCTGGTCTTTCCATAATGGTCAGCGAATTTCAGTGCCCTTGTCACGGAACAATGAAAATCAAAGGATGGACATCACGACGTGTAATTCATGCTGGCGCTAATCGTGACGGCTACTGGACTAGTGAGCACTTAGTAGAGCAGCTCGTCGAAGATGCAATTCCTTTGTTCAATGCACTTCATTAAGGATGCCAAGCTGTCTTTTTGTTTGATCAAAGCAGCAACCACAATGCATACAAGAACGATGCGCTTGTTGCATCATGGATGCCTATCCAACCAAAGCTGAAGTGCGAAATGCCATACGAATTCAAGCTGACATCGTTTCATCTTGGTGGGGCTACCAGCAGCAACACACCTGTCACTGATGAGCATGAAAATTCGTATGCTGCTGAAGATAGCAATGATGATGAAAACACATACCATCAAAGCTTATATTACAAGGTCCCGGTCAAAAAAGGAAAGAAGGGCAAGGAGAAAACTGAGAACGTCTGGTATTTCAAGGGTATCATGAGAATCCTGAAGGATCGCCAGCTCTGGATGGAAGAGGATCTCAACCGGCCTAGTAAAAAGTGGAGAGGTTTCTGCAATGCTGAACCTATGCCTGACAACTGTTGCTGTGGACGACACCTCCTTGCTGCCCAGCCAGATTCTGCTAGTCAGAAGACGGCGCCTCACGAAGAAGTCCTTGCTGCTGGTCACCTTTTTGCATTATATCCTAAGTTCCACTGTGAATGCTATTGGGGTGCAGCCAAGCGTGAAGCTCGCCTAAAATGCGAATACACTTTTAAAGCACTACAAGAACATTTACATGATTTTCTTGATAGCGCAGGCAACCCTGTTACTATCCAAAGGTACTAGAATCGCTGCTTACGCTACATCAACGCCTACAGCCAAGATCTCAATGCTGAAGGTGCCGCCAAAGAAGTCTAAAAATTTACCAGCTGTAAGCTTGCTTCTTAGGAGGGTAACCTTTAGTGTTATGATTTTAGTGAAATTATAAATATGTAAAAAATTATAAGTAATATAATTTTTAAATGTTTATAATAATTCATGAAATTAATTTTTTTAATTAAAAAAATAATTTCTTAAACACTATAAGATTCTCAACCAATAGGGTTAATCTCAACTATTATGTTTAAAACACTCTAAGTGGCGCAACGGTAGTGAGCAAGTCCCTCCTCTACCCTAGGAATACTTGGACGACGGGTAGCTTGACTGTGAGAGGCATAACTAAAATTAATTTACTATTTATAGTAAAATTAATTGTTATGGATTGAGCCTCTTACAGAAGACCAGGCATCCACGACTAATTTTCGCTCCTCCATTCCTCCTTGAAAATAAATTTTTTATCTACCACTTAGTGGAATTTAAAAATGAAAATTTGAAACAAAATAAGGCTTATGTCGATTATTATCCGAATGCACCATATTACTAATAATCAAGGATCAAGTTTATCAAGGAACACCTATAATCACTGATGGTTTACGATCTTATACAAGCTTAAATAAGATGGGATATATTCATAAAGCAGTTGATCATTCGAAATATTTTATGGATCTAAAGGATTCAACAATACATACTAACAGTATGGAAGGTTTTTGGATGCATTTAAGAAAACATATGCCCAATATAAAAAAAGATTCTGAGCTATATACATTATATTTTTTAGATTATGCTTTTAGAAAAAGATATCATCATAATTTGTTTGAAATGTTAAAACCAGTTATTATGTATTATAGTGAAAATCAAACGAATATCCAAGATCAATAAAAATACTCTTTATTCTATCAAATATTATATCCACATTTTTTAATTTATGGGTATAATTTTCACTTAATAATTTCTTTTCATACATTAATATATTGTATAATAATTATAAACAATATTCATCTCTTTGAAAATTTTTATTAATGTTATTGCTATCATTATCTTCTTTACCATCATCTAAATTGCTATTATCTGAATTATTATCATCTGAATCTGTATAATAACCATCTTCTAAACAATATTCACAATATGTTCTATTACTATCTTCTTTTACATAGCATCTATTGTATTCAAAACTTCTACATTTATTATTATTATTATATCTTTTCTTTTTAGTATTACTAATATCAGGAGTACTAAGATTTGAAAGACTTCGTTTATTACTATCATTATTATTATCTTCTATTTCACTATTATCTGTTAATAGCTCATCAATATTTTTTTCTCTATTATAATTTTCATTACTTACTAATACATCATTACCTTCTAATGAACTATCATCTGTAACAGATGGTGTTGATAAATTTTTTGTTTTATTGTTATTGTATTTTTTCTTTTACTTCCTTTTCTTTTTGTTATTTTATAATATTCTTGATATTTTTCTTCTTGTTGACCATTTTCATTATTATATGATATTTCAAAATCAATTTGTTTATTTTTTTCATCATATAGAATATTAACATTTTTAATATTGTTTTCAATCATAAAATTAATTATAATTGATCTTTTTATTTTTGATGTAAATTTTTTATGTGTCTCTTCCATTTTGATATTAGTTTTATATATATTATAAAAATTCAATTTTTAAAAAAGATATTATGCAAATTTAGATAAAATTTAAATATCATCGCTCTTTTAAAATTACCATTTGCTGCTTCTTGCCCAAATTTGTTACAACTATTGAAAGAGTACTTGGTGAAAAAGGTATGGAAGATATAGTTCAAGTATATTCTATCTTCAAATTATTCTAACATACTTGTGATTTGGTCTGATTTTCATCTAGAAAAAAGGAGATGGACTTTATTTGCCCCCCCCTTCCTCCCGCTGATATCAATGGGCTGCAAAATAACTTGTTCCATGCTTGTTATGTCTACTTGCAAAAGGACAAACTGACAAAAGCTCAAGAAAAACATTTACAGTAAGTTTTTTTCCTTTGTTCTGTGTTATTGCTAAGTAATAAATTAAATAAATAATTACCAACATATGTAGGCTCGCAATGTCTGGTATTGTAAATACTCTGAAGACTGACAAGGAAGTCAACATGAAGAAGTACATTAGTGAAGTCACTTTCAGCCATTTGTCTAATATAATTAAGAGCGAGAATTATCACAACGAATGTGTATACAACGACAAAGCGAATGATGCTGTAAAGCAAATATTTAAGGTAAATCAAATAATAGTAATATAAAAGGAGGGAGCCACAAATCCCATGTTTATCATGCTAATTTTACTGAGAACTTTGTTTCTAGGAGTATGAAGAGGTGGGTATCATGGCCGTATGAATCTATATATCTGAAGAAAAGATCAAGATGTTGAAAGCTGGAGAATATGATGGAAGCTCGGTTGTATTGAAGATTCACGATATCTTTTTATATATATAAGGGGTTTTAATATTATTACATCATTATCTTGATCAATGCACCATCGTTTTTTGACTAATTATGTACAGGATTTTTCATCTCCTAGCGGATGTTTCAACTTTTATTTAGGTAGAAGGGATTTAATTTTAGGCAGAGTGGACATGAATGTTAATCTGAGTGGACATGAATAAAAGTTAATCTGGACATGAATAATAATTGATCTGGACATGAATAATAATTGATCTGGACATGAATAATAATTGAGCTGGACATGAATGAAAATCGAGCTGGACATGAATAAAGAATCGAGCTGGACATGAATATAAAACGATCTGGACATGAATATAAATCGATCTGGACATGAGTAAAATCAATCTGGACAAAATAAAAATCAATCTGTACATGAATGAAAATCATTCTGGACAAGAATAATAATCAATCTAAAATAGACAACCTGGACATAATAACAGTCAACCTGGACATAGTATTAGTCAACTAAGACATAATAAAAGTTGAAGTAGATAATATATTAAGTGTAGCAAAGCAGAATATTTGAGTACTTATTAAGTCAAGACATAATAGAAGTTAAGCAGTACAAAGCCAATGTCACGATATAGTAGTATGGCTGTTTCACTCGTGACAAGAAGCTTGTAGGCTAATGTACAGGAAATGGCAAGGGTGCATCAGAGACTTACTACTGTGCGCATAAGCCTATTTTGCTGCTGTGGGAACGGGGCCTGAGCGTTTCCCCTCATTTCATTTTACCCGGGTTGAGTTTAAAAATTGGAGGCTGGTGGCTGAGGTAGGTAGAAAGTGTGGGGTTTGTTAGCAGCAGTAGGGAGGAAAAAAACATTAACCAAAGATCTCATTACCATTTGCCACAGCAAATCAACAGCTTCGACGCACACTTGTAAATGGCTCCTACTCTCTTCACGATGAATAAAAAACAAAGAAAACAAAACGGCACAATCCACGGATTTATTGAAAAACGAAATGAAGGTAACTGTTTTCTTAAAAAAAGCATGTGCTCATGATTTATAAGGAGTAGACCGCCGTTACTGCTGCTTAGAAAAACGCTGGATAAGTGAACAAGGGAAGGAAAAGGTTATCGGTTGTGCTTGAGGTATAGCTTTAATGGAGATATGCCCATTCAGAATTACTGCTTCTTTCTCATTTTCTCTGTATATACTTGATGCACCATCTTACACCAATCCAACGTCAAACTTACGTGTGTAATACAACATCGTCCTCTACCTGCACAAACCATTCGTACTCACAACAAGAACGACGCAACAATCTTCTTCTCCATTACTCAAACAAAATTATATACAACATGACGCTGATCCGCCATTGACTTGCAAAATATACAGCCTGACGCGATTACTCTTTACCTTTTGTATATACCAACGTTAACATCGCCAGTCTTTATGGAAAATGAGCTGTAGATAGCAGGAAGGATAACTGACGGGTTTCTTTCCTTTTGTATTGCTGTGGATTGGATGAAAGTATGTTGACTGTTATATAAGAAAGACAACGAAGAAGGTTCTACAAGAGTTATACAGGTGCGAAGGATGTTGTTTCGTGGTGAAGGATGGTTATTGTAATTATTGGCATTGCGTGGCAGAGCGTCTGATGCCACTCACAGTCTCGCGTTTGTGAACCCATTTGTAGCCACACAATTCCGAGATGCGATCCTTAAAGATCTGCCATTGAGCAGCAAGAAGGCGCACAATTTCATTGGGAATGAGTGCAAGAACTCCACGTACAGTCGAGTGAGAGAGAGCGTAGCGAATGTTGTCAAGGGTAGTAACTTGTTGGTTGTTCATAGTTGTTGTTATTAATAAAAAATAAACTTGCTGTTGTAATAGCAAGGGAACTTCCTCCTTCATAACAACGAACGCCTTTTCTTCTTTGTCCCTGCCATATTATCATCCCGCTGACAGCTATATCTATAGAAGCACTTGTAATAACATGCAATCCCATCTCACACCCGTTTATGCAGACAACTGAAACATAATGACGGCATAATGTATGATCTTTTACTTTTATTTTTTTATCCCAACCATTACATCTACAGTAACAATAATAAAACCCTACATTCCATCCATCAGCATATATAAATACCTTATCCATCAAGACCAGTGACGTTTGTATTCGCATATGCAAAAGGAAAAAGGCAATCGTCGTTGTCACCGTGTGTGTGCAAGTACAGCGAATTACAGAGGAGGATTATAGTCGTGGTGGTGTGTATACATCATAAGAATAAACTTATTATCGCATTGATGCATGTACATACAGCAAAGAAAGAGATGCCAGTCACTATGATGATGATGTGCGTGTGCGTATAAGTATAAAAACAAAAAAACGGTGTCATAGTCGTCCTCATGTAATATGGGCGTACATGATAGTGAAAGATAATCGCGTCAGGCTGTATATTTTGCAAGTCAATGGCGGATCAGCGTCATGTTGTATATAATTGTGTTTGAGTAATGGAGAAAAAGATTGTTGCGTCGTTCTTGTTGTGAGTACGAATGGTTTGTGCAGGTAGAGGACGATGTTGTATTACGCACGTAAGTTTGACGTTGGATTGGTGTAAGATGGTGCATCAAGTATATACAGAGAAAATGAGAAAGAAGCAGTAATTCTGAATGGGCATATCTCCACTAAAGCTATACCTCAAGCACAACCGATAACCTTTTCCTTCCCTTGTTCACTTATCCAGCGTTTTTCTAAGCAGCAGTAACGGCGGTCTACTCCTTATAAATTATGAGCACATGCTTTTTTTAAGAAAACAGTTACCTTCATTTCGTTTTTCAATAAATCCGTGGATTGTGCCGTTTTGTTTTCTTTGTTTTTTATTCATCGTGAAGAGCGTAGGAGCCATTTACAAGTGTGCGTCGAAGCTGTTGATTTGCCGTGGCGAATGGTAATGAGATCTTTGGTTATTGTTTTTTTCCTCCCTGCTGCTGCTAACAAACCACACACTTTCTACCTACCTCAGCCACCAGCCTCCTATTTGTTTCAAACTCAACCCGGGTAAAATGAAATGAGGGAAAACGCTCAGGCCCCGTTCCCACAGCAGCAAAATAGGCTTATGCGCACAGTAGTGAGTCTCTGACGCACCCTTGCCATTTCCTGTACATTAGCCTACAAGCTTCTTGTCACGAGTGAAACAGCCATACTACTATATCGTGACATTGGCTTTGTACTGCTTAACTTCTATTATGTCTTGACTTAATAAGTACTCAAATATTCTGCTTTGCTACACTTAATATATTATCTACTTCAACTTTTATTATGTCTTAGTTGACTAATACTATGTCCAGGTTGACTGTTATTATGTCCAGGTTGTCTATTTTAGATTGATTATTATTCTTGTCCAGAATAATTTTTATTCATGTACAGATTGATTTTTATTTTGTCAGATTGATTTTACTCATGTCCAGATCGATTTATATTCATGTCCAGGTCGATTTATATTCATGTCCAGGTCGATTTATATTCATGTCTAGATCGTTTTATATTCATGTCCAGATCGATCTTTATTCATGTCCAGCTCGATTTTCATTCAAGTCTAGATCGATTTTCATTCATGTCCAGCTCGATTTTCATTTATGTCTAGATCAATTATTATTCATGTCCAGATTAACTTTCATTCATGTCCACTCAGATTAACATTCATGTCCAATGTGCCTAAAATTAAATCCCTTCTGCCTAAATAAAAGTTCAAACGTCCGCTAGGAGATGAAAAATCCTGTATAATAATATTTTTTTTGATGTTTACAGTAAACCCCCGTTAAATACACCCCCTATAATTGCAACCCTCATCAATATCAACGTTTCAGAAAAAATCTTTTCAAGACATAGTGAATTTGCAACTTTTCCGCTTTAATGAAACTTCACCACATCGGAAGGGTGTTGATCTTAAAAATTTAATCAGCTTTGTCCTTTATTATATGTTAATTTCTATTGGAAGAAGAGAAAAATCGCGTCAAGCGGGATTGTTGGCTGTATAATTCTTATACAAGCTTGGTACGGAGGGTTGTAAGTGCTGTAAGTGCAGCAACAATGTCATTATCCAAACTATCTTCGGCATCAAAAATATGAAAAAGGTTAAGCATGGTCGTTGCCTTTTCTCTTGCAGACAAGTTAACAATGTTGGTGCTTGGATTGTTGGCGGATTCCGTAGCTGTAGACTCTTCGTTTATAGATATTTGTTGCATGTCCTCTGTAATTAATTCTATAATTTCATCGTCACTGTAATTGCCATGGATTATCTGGCGTTCATGGTCAGGATCAATTTCAGATGTTGGACATTTGTCGATGCTGATATTTCTGATGGACGCAATTTGTTCGATTTGTTGTTGTAAATGTTGCTGCATGAATAGGTCTTGATGCGTAATGGCATTGACTGCTTCAGGTGATGCGTCGTCCTCTTGCGCCGTCATTCGATAAATACTAGCATCCCAGCAATTGACAATTGTTTCTCGCTTTATATTGTCCCAGGCTTTTTTAATCCACCTCATGGCTTGCAATTGGCTGACATCGAACAATTTTTCAACCGGACCAACGACTTCTGGACGACCTATTTATGTCATACTTATTTGACGGTAGGCCTTGTCTAATTGCATTCGTTTATAATGAGCTTTGAAAGCTCGGATGATCCCACCATCGAGCGGCTGTAGCTTTGCAGTAGTGTTTGGCGGCAAGAAAAATAATTCGACATTCGTGAGCACAGCATCAATAGCATGGCCGCTAAAGTTGTCAAGAACAAGTAAGACACGTCGATTTTGGTAACGCATGGCTTTATCGAAACGCGTGATATAGTGCTCGAAAATGTTTCGCTTCATCCATGCCTTTTGATTATAAAAGTAAAACCGAAAACCGAGCTCGTACGCTTCTTTTCGCTTGCCGGTCGAGTCCACAAAGCATGTAGGTTTCTTGTGTTTGCCAATTATCATCGGTTCCCATTTTTCTGAGCCGCCCGCATTCACAAAAGAGCAACCGTGAGCCGTTTTTTGTTTTCCTTGAATCCAGAGAACCCTTTTTGGGCGATGGTAGTCCGAGGCTGGGCAGTGAAGAACAATGCTGTTTCATCGATATTCCATATATCACGTCGATCATACTGAGAAAGTTTGTCGCGTATTTTGTCCCTGTTTTCGAGAATGGCATTCGCATCAACAGATTCGCCTTCACCATGAAGTGTATGTTTACGCAGCCCATGACGTCGAGCAAAACGATGCATCCACCCGTTCGACCCTTTGAAATCCTGGCCCAAGCGTTCTGCAAAGTTAACCGCCTTAGTATGAACCATGCTCCAAGTGACCGGGATATGATTGTTTTCGGCGACGTTTATCCACAGCATTACAGCATCCTCGACTTCCTATATACGTTGTAGCCATATGTTTTGAGCTCGTTAATATTATACTGTCTAAATTGATTATTGCATTTATTATTATATCGAAACATACGGGAAATCTGCCCTTTTGAAGCCTTCTCCCGGTTTCGAGACGAATTACACCTTCTTCCTCTTCCTTTTCCATGCGCGCAATAAGCCTTGAAATAGTTGACTTGTCCGGAGAGTTTTCGAGTTTGAACCTTGTAGTTGCCCAGGAAATTAACATTGAATAGGTAAACTTGTTCGCTTTGTTTTTTTCTTTGTAATGCTTGAACAGCTCCTGACGTTGATAATTGGTGAATGATACATTCTTTCTACGACGCTCTCGACGTGTTTTGGCCATGATAATAACGCGAAAGAAGAGCACGATCAAGAAACTGAAGGAAGTGATAATAAGTTCCTTTTTTTTTAGGGGTAAAACTTTTCGGCGAATGGTCGGGGACCACAGCCTAAACGTTGATCCATTTCGACAAATGCAACCCTCGCTAATTACAACTTTTTCCAGAAAAATCTTCGGTTGTATTTAACGGGGGTTTACTGTATTAGTCAAGCTGAAGGGTTACTTAGAGTGGTGTAAAACAGCGATACGCTTTGCAAAACTATCACAATTCATCAACTCGAACAAGGATGTAGTCTTGCAGCATGTTCCAGAAATAATAAATCCAGACGAGCTCAAATCTCTCTTGAAGAAAGATTTCAATACTCATGCAGCCAACATACTTTCCAGTGTAAGCTTTTGTTTACTTTTTTTGTTCTAATTCTCAATCGCTCTTATTCACAACATTATATCATAGGCTTCTTTTGTAGCTGACGTTGGAAATGTCAATTGGGCGGAACTTGCTAAAGATAAGGTATATCTAAAGATTCTACTGATAATCAAATATGATCGTGTAATAATCAAAATTTTAATACTATATAGCAAGCTTATCAAGCTCAGAACAATCACAATAATAGTGATAATCTTGAAGTCAGTAGTTGTACAATCATCTAGGTAATATTTATTTGCTCATGACCGAACGACAACATATTTTTCGTGTATTTACTCAATGTGTATCATTATTATTTTATTTATAACAGGATGGTAGCAGTATCGTGGCACACGACACAAATTTGCTACAACCATTGAAAGAGTACTCGGTGAAAAAGGTATAGAAGATATAGTTCAAGCATATTCTATCTTCAAATTATTCTAACATACTTGTGATTTGGTCTGATTTTCATCCAGAAAAAAGGAGATGGACTTCATTTGCCCCCCCCCCTTCCTCCTGCTGATATCAATGGGCTGCAAAAAGACTTGTTCCGTGCTTGTTGCGTCTACTTGCAAAAGGACAAGTTGACAAAAGCTCAAGAAAAACATTTACAGTAAGTTTTTTTCCTTTGTTCTGTGTTATTGCTAAGTAATAAATTAAATAAATAATTACCAACATATGTAGGCTCGCAATGTCTGGTATTGTAAATACTCCGAAGACTGACAAGGAAGTCAACATGAAGAAGTACATTGGTGAAGTCACTTTCAGCCATTTGTCTAATATGATCAAGAGCGAGAATTATCACAACGAATGTGTATACAACGACAAAGCGAATGATGCTGTAAAGCAAATATTTAAGGTAAATCAAATAATAGTAATATAAGAGGAGGGAGCCACAAATCCCATGTTTATCATGCTAATTTTACCGAGAACTTTGTTTCTAGGAGTATGAAGAGGGGGGTATCATGGCCGTACGAATCTATATATCTGAAGAAAAGATCAAGATGTTGAAAGCTGGAGAATATGATGGAAGCTCAGTTGTATTGAAGATTCATGACATCTTTTCATATATGTAAGGGGTTTTAATATTATTACATCGTTATCTTGATCAATGCACCATCGTTTTTTGACTAATTATGTATGTATTATTAATTTTTAGATTTGACATGATCCAATTCGACTTCCAAAACAGACATAGTTATATGATGTCTGAGAATGAATCCTTTGCTCGGTGGCAATATGTTTTCCGTGTTCTTTTTCAGTGCACAATTATCCAAGTACGAACGTAAGTAAACAAAACAAAGGGCTTAGTATATTATCATAAGCGAACTTGAATTAATACGTGCTTTAGTGGTGAGATTTTGTCCCAAGCCACAAGAGAAGAGATGAAAGAGGAAAATGGTGGTTTCAGGTGCAAAATCGACATGCTGATAGTAACTCATGGAAAGGATGGAGAAGAGAACCGTGTTAAATTGGCGTCAAACGAACACGAGGAACCAAACGCTGAGTATGATCTCATGTTCGAGCAATAGTCAAAAAGCATCTTGTCGAATATTTGTATACTATCACAGCTGAAAAAAAGATTTGGGGTGGATATAAGCGGTTCCAGTACTGTCACACCTCTGGCAGTGGACGTAATGGGTAAGATGACAGAAAGTGGTTAAAACATGGTCCAAAATAAATAGGGTCATTCAATCACGTATATTTCTAACATAATTGTTTAACAGGTCTTCGTGGCTACTTGTATGGTGTCTACAAGCATGAAGATGTCTTTGTTGCTGCCAAGAAATCCGACAAACATATTGTACTACCAACGACGCTTGCTGAATTTGAAGAGTTTTTTGATACTGGCAGCATCTTTCTATTATTAAATTACATAGTAAGCTTGCCTTTTTCATTTTCCACACGTTTGGGAGATACCATTACAGATTATGTTAACTGTACATCTATGTTATATAGTATTACATCGTCTCAGCAGCTGAAGAAATCTTGCAAAATCCTGACAAGCAAACAAAAAGAAGATTCGAAGCAATGTTAGATGATGAATACCCAGTTGACGACGATCCTTAACTTCAGTTCACATATCCCAACAAAAAAAGAAACTCGACTTGATCCTATTCCCTCTTTACACCATCTACCATTATTTGTATAACATAACCCTTTCAATACCATTTACCTTCTTTAATAATACATATACTCCAGCATCGTCTAATCCATTTATATTCTTTCTTAAAAGTATCCTGTGCAAACGACAAAATCATATCTTTGAGTTCTATTTGAAAATAGCTGTGCCTGGTTGTATTGAACTCTGATTGGACGATGCATTTAGGAGTATCACAACACTTTTATTGGTAAGCTGTTTAGCATCACATTAGCATCACATCTAACTTTTAGTGTAAAGTAGCTTTTAGATGTGTAGGCACTTGTTCTCTCGGCTTAAGTTCTTAGCTATGATAAGCGATCTTATATTTGTCTCCAAAGAGCATGACAGCTCCCTTCTACTTCCACGGCTCTTTGAATTTCGTCTAGGTAGCTCGATTTTGACATTGAGGCCCATTTTCGTTTTTATTTAGCACAGCCAAATTTTATTTTCAGCGCCTTAAAACGATTTTTGTTTGGATCAACCATCGTCGAATATACTAATTAGGGAGAATGCATCACTTGGAAGGAATTATAATTGATTAAGCCTTTTTAAAAGTTTTCTGATATCCTCTTTATCGCATGTGCAAGCTGAGAAAAGATGAAGGAGATGCGCTTGTTGTTAATACGTACTACTTTTGGTAAATATACAGGGTGTACCTGAATAAGCCAAGAAAATGTTGGAAGTTGGAAGTTTAGACAGGATACTGTATTTATGAAGCTGCTGAAATAGAAGATGAAGATCTATTAGCATTTGCAGACATCATGCATCGCTTGTAAGTTTCTGATTGAATGTAGGAATATATCTTTGTATGTGGTATTGAAACTAAAGATTGAATTAGAGCACCACGGCCTTCAAAAGATGTACTAGCGGTCCTTCGTCGCTTCGCTCCGTGTCATACAACGGACACGTGTCGCAAGGGGGTTTTCCCCTTGATGCCGCGAAAGGGCAAGGCCCTGAGTAGCATCACTTTCTATGGCTGGATCAGTATCTTTAAGATACTTACGATTATCTCGCCTGACAAAATCAGTTGTATTATACATCTGCCGCCACATCCTTTGGCATATCACCAGCAATTTGAGATGTTGTTGCAAGACTAGCTTAGCTTCAGTCGCTTCATTGAAAGCTTTAAGTGTCTGCGCTTTTTTTAAGTCGTTGGTCATCGATGTAGGTACTTAGTGTTAAGGTTGCGTTCAGTTAATTCGGCCAATGGTAAAAATGCGATAATCCTTTTACTGTGGACGACCTTTTTTGTCATTATTTCATAATACAGGGGGTACATAACATGATTGAAGCGCGCTAGCATCATACAATCGCACCAGAAGCTGAACTGTCAACAATTGAACGTATATATGTGTAATACTGTAGATCCACTCAAGAACATGTAAAAGCTTAGTTCAAACAGGGCACCCTTATTTAGACCGTTTTTGAACCATGGCCAGTACATTTTCAGCGAAACAATTGGGATACTATTTACAATAACAACATGCCAGTGGATAACAGAAGAGAACGATTCATGCGCCAAAGTTCCCACAGCAGCAAATAGGCTTATGCGCACAGTAGTGAGTCTTTGACGCACCCTTGCCATTTCCTGTACATTAGCCTACAAGCTTCTTGTCACGAGTGAAACAGCCATACTACTATATCGTGACATTGGCTTTGTACTGCTTAACTTCTATTATGTCTTGACTTAATAAGTACTCAAATATTCTGCTTTGCTACACTTAATATATTATCTACTTCAACTTTTATTATGTCTTAGTTGACTAATACTATGTCCAGGTTGACTGTTATTATGTCCAGGTTGTCTATTTTAGATTGATTATTATTCTTGTCCAGAATGATTTTCATTCATGTACAGATTGATTTTTATTTTGTCCAGATTGATTTTACTCATGTCCAGATCGATTTATATTCATGTCCAGGTCGATTTATATTCATGTCCAGATCGTTTTATATTCATATCCAGCTCGATTCTTTATTCATGTTTAGCTCGATTTTCATTCATGTCCAGCTCGATTTTCATTCATGTCCAGCTCAATTATTATTCATGTCCAGATCAATTATTATTCATGTCCAGATCAATTATTATTCATGTCCAGATTAACTTTTATTCATGTCCACTCAGATTAACATTCATGTCCACTCTGCCTAAAATTAAATCCCTTCTGCCTAAATAAAAGTTCAAACGTCTGTTAGGAGATGAAAAATCCTGTATCCAGCTGTGTTATTGATTTCTGTTTTCTCTTTATTATCTTTTCCCTTTCTCTTACTAGTATTTTATCCTTACTATCTTTATCATTTTCTTATTCTATCAGTCATTAAACTACTATACTTTTATCTCTACAGCTTCTTTCTGTTATTTTTATGCAAAGTTATTGGTTAATAGCCAATATATAATGATAACTTTAGCTAAATAGCATTTTTGAGGTTTACTTTTTTTTTCCAGATTTCAAAGACATAAAAAGATTGCGAGTCCCTGTTTTGAAATGCTGATTTCTCATTGGTTATGCATCATTGAGCTACACAATTTGGACTAGCATAAATTCCGATGCTGCACTTTGATTGGTTAATATTGTAATTCCGCATGATCACGTGGGCACAAGATAAAGGGGGGGTACCTATATTGTACAAGATCTGAAAGGACTCTGGTGTTGGCAACACAGGCTGCTCGAAGACGCATCGAAACTGAAGTAATGGTAATTTTTTCTGTTATATGTATTCAATGCAATGTCGTTATTTATCATTTGATTTATAGACCAATAGTGACAATGGGGATGATGATGACAACGGTGATGTTTCCAGTTCTGCTACCACTGATGTGCCAACCGAAGATGATGTGAACGACATAATTCTAGACAATGGATTCAACTTGACACATGGTTTTAAACGATTTCAATCTATTGCACTTCAAAATTCGAAGACAACCGGTTTTACGATGTACCAAGATGTCCACGAAGTATTGTAAGTTTATTGAAAAGACTGTGGGAGCAAAATGGATATATTATTGACATGAAGCAACGTTTTTTTCCCTTTCCCTGTTAGGTCCCTCAATCACATTCTGCTCCTCAATGACAACCAATATGGAAAATCACTGATAGACTTTCTTGGCTTGGATAACTTGACTGGATATCATGCTCACTTGAAGAAGCCCTATATGGATGATGATGTGGCTGTGGATGACACTTTGATGTAGAAATTAATGGTGATTTCTCGCATAAGTGCATTACTATTAGAAAACAGATGATATTATCGCTGTTGTTTTTTTGTTTTTAGAAATTGAAGAACAAGTCTCGCAAGACGATTAAGCACACACTGATGAAGACATGTATGGACATAAAATTGGATGATCTTGACGAATCTATGATTGATATTTTACTGAATTGGTAAGCAGTGAATGTGAAAATATGGTTTTTGTGTATCTCTGCTAAATCTTTATGTATCATAGCTTGCAAAAGTTACCTGATTTCAACACCAAACAAGCCATTGGCGAACAACAACTCCTAACCAACCACATCGATCCTATTGTGATTCATCTGTTCCACCTTCCTGAACACGGACGTGTATTTGACTGGTAAGTCATTCTCAAAAATATACATACTAGACATATCACTGAATGTTACCCATTCCATTCTTTTATCTAGGATGAATCGCACAATTGAAGACACGAAAGGCGACCTGACGGCATCATGTACATTATTGAACAAAGAAACATCCAAAATGCCATTGGTTACTGTGAAGTCAAGGCACATGACAGTGAAGACAATGTCGATAGTATCCACTCGGACCTTTTCCGCTTGGCGTCGTTTTGCAAAAATTCTTTGGATCTTGGCCATGTCAAGATTTTTATACTACAATGGGATCCTCAGAAGATAAACAAATATCTTATGATAATAAGATTTCTAATGAAATTAAGAAATCTATTAATTATTAAGATATTAAAATATAAAAAAATAAATCTTATTTTTTTTATTTTACTCGATTTGTTAAAATCGAATCGATAGTCTGATTCCTAATACTGGGGGGGGGTCTGATAAAAAATCTTTGATTTTTTTGAAGAGGTCTTGACTTTGATGAAATCAATCCTAAACAACCAGTAGGTTGTTATTTAGACTTAATTGAGAATCTGAAAGATTCCAATAAGTCTCCTCAGAGACTACATGCGATATTTCTGATTTAATCTTATCAAAGTCTAATACAAAAGACACTAATGGCTCAGATAAAGATGAAGATTTTAATTATTGGTTAGCCGGACTAATCGATGGAGATGGAACACTCTCAGTGTATAAAAGCAATGCTCAAGTATGTGAGATTACTTTGGGTGAAGAAGATGTTAAAACTTTATACAAAATTAAACAAAGATTCCATATGTCTCTTTTAAAAAGAAGTAAAGTTAAAGCTTATAGATGGAGAGTGTCCATAAAATTATATGTAATAGATGTTCTTAATTCTATTAATGGTAAATTATTAACTTACTCAAAACACGTACAATTAGTTAAAGTTTGTAATAAATTAAACATCAAACCAATTATTACTAATAAAATTAGTAAAAATAATAGTTAGTTTACTGGATTTTTTGATGCTGAAGGTAATTTTAGTATTAGAAATAATTATACTTTAACAATTAGTGTGGGTCAAAAATCTAAAGATATTTTAGAAGAAATTTAAAAAGAATTTAGAGTCGGTAATATTTACTATAATAAAAGTTGGAATGGCTATAATTATGTTATTACAGATTTACAAGGAATTAAAACAATGCTTACATATTTTGAAAAATATCTATTAAAAACAATAAAACATCCGGACTTCATTACAATAGAAGATTAGTTTTATTTATTGAAAGAGGTTATCATTTAAAAAATCATCCTCTCAAAGATAGAATTGATAACTTAATTAAAATCTTTAAAAATCGCAAAAAGATATAGTCCACTAAACGCATCCTGATAATTATATTCTAGCTAATCTAATGCAAACTCCTGCATCTATTGTACCTGAGTGGTAAAAAGGTACCTCTCAATAAAAACTTTACTATATGCTGAGAATTCTCCCCATTGTTGAATGAGATACCTTAAAGGTTATAATTTTCTCGATAGAGGTAATCAGCAGGTTATAATATTAATATAGCCTCAGAGATTGCACGTAAAGTATAAATTTTATTCATGAAGATACAATCCAACTTTCAAAGTCAGACTCCGAATGGGGCAATACTTTGTACGTATTTAGTTTAACTTTTTACAGTACTTCTACTAAAGGTAAAAAAAGATTATCTAAAAAAGAAAGAGAAACTATTATTCTTTCTAATATTACAGCTCAAGCTTTAGTAGGTATTATACTTGGAGATGGACATATTCAACAAAGACCTGTAATAGGTAATAGTAGATTTCTATTTGCTCAAACATCCGTTAAACATAAAAATTACTATCAAAAAGTATTTAATCTTTTTGAACCTTATTGTACCAAAGATTTACAATCTTAGTGCAAATCTTGGGAAGATAAAAAACAAAACAGATCTATGAATCTCTATCTTTGCTACTATAGCTTTACCTTGTTTTAATAATATAGAGAAATGTTTTATTTAAATAATATTAAAGTAGTGCCTTCCGATATCTTTAATTTATTAATAGAAATCGGATTAGCACACTGGATTATGGATGATGGATCTAAACATGGTAAAGGTCTACATCTTAATGTATATGCTTTCTCTACTGAAGATGTAAATAGATTAATTAATACACTTAAAAATAAATTTGGATTAAAATGTTCTATTCATCTCAAAGGAAATAAACCAAGCCCGGGGGGCTCGCACCTTCGGGTCTGCACCTCCAGTGCAAGAATTTATATTTGGGCTGAATCTATGGATAATTTAAGATATTTAGTAAAACCTTATATGTGTTCATCTATGTGCTACAAGATTGATTGAACTTTCCCTTTTGGGAAGAGTTTTAAGTTTTTAACTTAAAATTCTTGAAATAATGATCTATTACCATTCTATGCAATTCTACGATCAATTCCTGATAAATTAGGGGAGTAATTGCTATGTTTGGTTCTCTATAATTCTTTTAGCTATGCCAGTATTAGATACTTCAAGAGTTACAGGTTCAGCATTCCGACCATTAATGAAATTAGCATTCTGGTTATTAGTAGTAGATTTCTTAATCTTACTATGGTGTGGTGGTCAACACGTTGAAGAGCCTTTCATTAGCCTTGGTAATTTGCTACTGGATTCTATTTTGCTTGGTTCTTAATTTTGTTCCAGCATTGGTATTATTGAAAATACATTAATGGATTTAAATGATCCATATAACGGTAATTCCAGGTAAATTTAATTCAAACAAACATAGTTATAGTTTTGCTTCTGTATTATTTGTACCAACTATTTTCATCTAAATCCCCTAAATCTCTAATACTTCTTATGAGATTTATTTATTTCTTAAATGATAATCTTTCTATTCTTCTTATAAGCTCTTTAGGTTTAATATTACTAAGTTTATTAATTTATATGAGTTCTGTCCCTAATCTATCTAATACAAATTCTTCATCAAATAATACTATTAATGTTAATTTTGGAAAAGGTGGTGCAGGGTCTTCTTCTAATGCTCCTAATAATTCTTCTAATACTAATTCTCCAAGTTGGGGACCAGTAGCCCGGCTACTGGTGTTTCAGGAACTTTAGCTGGAGCTGCTGCTACTATGGCAAAAAGCAATCCTAGAGCTGCAATGGTTACTGCAGGTATTGGTGCAGCAGCCGGTGCTACTTTTATTTTGGGGGAGAAATGATTCAAGCTATTAAAGAAGAAAGAATAGAAGAAAATAGATATATTAGAGAGGCGCATATGCATTACCAACTATTTTCATATAAAAACAATTGGTAAAAAATTTTTTGTTGGTAACAAAAATTTAAAATGGCTACAAATTGAATTTTATCTATAATAAAAAATAAACCTATCAATAATGAATTCAGAATATATAAATAATTTAAATGTGATGAAATATATTCCTGTTGATGAAAATATAAAAGATATTACATTGTTTATTGCAAAGTATTTATTATTAGAATATGTTCATCAAAAAAAATTTAGAGTAAAGAAAAATGATAGAATATATCATAATGAACATGATCTTATGAAAAAATATGTTACGATATATAAATTTAATATAAAAAATATAGCTTATGACCCCGTGTTCATTGCATATAAACTAATAAAATATAATGATTATATAAATTTATTTAAAATAGTAGATCCCATTTTATTTATGAATATAGTTAAAAAGATATTTTATAAAAAAGAATATATTGTAATTGAGCAATAAGATATAGAAGGTTTTTTTAAGAATAATAATGAACTTTATATTGTAAATGGTAATGAATATAGGTTTAGAAATGATCTAATAGAAATGTTGCAGAATTATCACTATTAGTATTTGCTAATAAATAAATTTCAAACTCAATTACTTTTTTTATAAAATTGAATTTTATTTTTATATAAAAATAAATCATTCAAAAAGAAAATGGTTGCGTTAAATAAATATCTTCCTATCAACCACATTAATCTTAGAATTAATTTATGTAAAGAAATTGATACATTTATTGATTCAGAATTCAATCATTTTGTTGAAAAGTAAATTTGATTAAAAAATTCAAAAAAATTTAAAAAATAAAATAGAATCTCTTTTTTCAAATGATCATTTCTTAAATTTGTCTATGAATCATGGTTTTTGTAGCCATAAATTCAAAAAAGGAAAACGTGATGGACAGTTTTGTGGGAAGAAAATCAAGACAAATTTACCTGATGGTTAAAAGGATTATCGTTGCTGTCAACATAGTAAGCTACATATTCTAAAAAAAAGCTATTGGTAGTTAATAATAGTATTAGAAATATAGAGATAAAAGAGCTGTATATAAAACCTGAGAAAAAAACAGAAAAACCTATAAAAATTAATATTGGTAATCCTTTCTTCTTATGCTTTAATAATATTCTTCTATAAATTTTTGATATAATTCTAATATATATTATGTTCTTATTATAATATGCCTAGACTATGCCTTTTAATATATGCATTTAATCATCCTTTATGGTTAAATATATCAATAGATAACCAACTATTATCATTATTACTATATCCAACCCATTTTACCTGAAATAAATATGCATTCTTTTCTTTTTTATGTCCAATAATACTTTCTATTTCATATGATACAGTTGAACGCTGTTTTCCTTTTACATTTCTTCTTCTTTTTCTAGTACATTCATTGAAATTAGGAATATCATTATCATTTTCACTATTTTCTAAATCATCTGATTCACTATTATCATCTCTAACCATTTCATTATTTGATAATGTCATATTTAATAAATTATTTTGTGGTTGTACCATTCTATCAAGCTTATCCTTATTTTGTTTTTTAATACTAACAACTATGTCAATTAATTTTTTTTCAATAGGAAAATCAAAATCAGGACTATGCCATATTTTATAATGTGGTAAAATAGGTATATTAAATACTTCTACAAACTTTGTAATATTTTTTAATAAACAGGCAACATAGAACTAAAGATTATAATATTTAATATTATCCATCTTTACAATTGATTTATTATTATTAAAACGATAAAATTTATTTCCAATTTCAGAAAATTGATTTTCGATTTTACTTCTAAAGCTTCCAAATGTATTATTAAAATGTTCTTCAGTAATAGTTAAATTTTCATTTATGTTTTTACGCATTGGATATACAAAGTTATTATTACTAAAATCATATCCTTTTTCTGTAGCAAGTTCAGTAAACTGTGTTGTGAACAAAGTATATCTACCATCAACAGCTAAAGTATCATTTTGATTCATTTTATTATAAAGTTTCATATTTAAAAATATGCTACCATTAGAACTATCTACACAGAATTCACTTTTTGATATAAAAATTATTATATCATTAATATCAGCTGCAAATTGTATGCGTACACCATTCTTTTTAAATTTATATAAATATAAACGTGATCTATCTAAATCCGTATCTGTATAATTAATTCGTGAATCATGACCATCTAAAATAAGTGTTACATATTTAAATAAATCTGGATTATATTTTCTTACAGATAAAACACGTAATTTTATATTTGAAAACATATACATTAATGAATCATTTACTATTTTATTAGTTCTTTTATAATTCTCTTCATTCATCCAAAATTTTTTATAAAATGTATGAAATGTACTTTGAGGTAAATATTTTTCAATTTCATCTCCAGAAATACCAGAAACTAAATGATATAATAAAAATAAGCCTTTCTCTAATTCAAAATAAGGAGCTGGATACTCTTTATTTGTGTATAGTACAACTAAGAAAAAAAATACAGCTGTATAACCTAATTTTTTTAATAATTTATCTTTAATTTCTTCAATAAATTTAATATGTTTTATTTGTGTTCTATGTTTGAATTTATTATGCACAATAGGCCAATTCCATTCAAGAAATGTCCAATAATTAGTAATAATAGTATTTACTTCCTCTGTAATTAATGTTGTATAATCTATTTGCTCCATTTTTTATTTATATTATAAAATTCAATTTAAATATAAAAAATTAATAGTTCTTTAATAAAACAAATATTAATTTATAACCAACAAGGTAATGTAGTACCCACGTAGACGGTGTAAAGAGGGAATAGGATCAAGTCGAGTTTATTTTTTTGTTGGGATATGTGAACTGAAGTTAAGGATCGTCGTCAACTGGGTATTCATCATCCAACATTGCTTCGAATCTTCTTTTTGTTTGCTTGTCAGGATTTTGCAAGATTTCTTCAGCTGCTGAGACGATGTAATACTATATAACATAGATGTACAGTTAACATAATCTGTAATGGTATCTCCCAAACGTGTGGAAAATGAAAAAGGCAAGCTTACTATGTAATTTAATAATAGAAAGATGCTGCTAGTATCAAAAAACTCTTCAAAATCAGCAAGCGTCATTGGTAGTACAATATGTTTGTCGGATTTCTTGGCAGCAACAAAGACATCTTCATGCTTGTAGACACCATACAAGTAGCCACGAAGACCTGTTAAACAATTATGTTAGAAATATACGTGATTGAATGACCCTATTTATTTTGGACCATGTTTTAACCACTTTCTGTCATCTTACCCATTACGTCCACTGCCAGAGGTGTGACAGTACTGGAACCGCTTATATCCACCCCAAATCTTTTTTTCAGCTGTGATAGTATACAAATATTCAACAAGATGCTTTTTGACTGTTGCTTGAACATGAGATCATGCTCAGCGTTTGCTTTCTTATGTTCGTTTGACGCCAATTTATCATGGTTCTCTTCTCCATCCTTTCCGTGAGTTACTATCAGCATGTCGATTTTGCACCCGAAACCACCATTTTCCTCTTTCATCTCTTCTCTTGTGGCTTGGGACAAGATCTCACTACTAAAGCACGTATTAATTCAAGTTCGCTTATGATAATATACTAAGCCCTTTGTTTTGTTTACTTACGTTCGTACTTGGATAATTGTGCACTGAAAAAGAACACGGAAAACATATTGCCACTGAGCAAAGGATTCATTCTCAGACATCATATAACTATGTCTGTTTTGGAAGTCGAATTGGATCATGTCAAATCTAAAAATTAATAATACATACATAATTAGTCAAAAAACGATGGTGCATTGATCAAGATAACGATGTAATAATATTAAAACCCCTTACATATATAAAAAGATGTCGTAAATCTTCAATACAACCGAGCTTCCATCATATTCTCCAGCTTTCAACATCTTGATCTTTTCTTCAGATATATAGATTCGTACGGCCATGATACCCCCCTCTTCATACTCCTAGAAACAAAGTTCTCGGTAAAATTAGCATGATAAACATGGGATTTGTGGCTCCCTCCTTTTATATTACCTTAAATATTTGCTTTACAGCATCATTTGCTTTGTCGTTGTATACACATTCGTTGTGAAAATTCTCGCTCTTGATCATATTGGACAAATGGCTGAAAGTGATTTCACCAATGTACTTCTTCATGTTGACTTCCTTGTCAGTTTTCAATGTATTCACAACAGCAGACAATGCAAGCCTACATATCATTACATATTATGTTGGTGTTTATTCTTTTAATTTATTACTTAGCAATAACGCAGAACAAAGGAAAAAAACTTACTGTAAATGTTTTTCTTGAGCTTTTGTCAATTTGTCCATTTGTAGATAGACGTAACAAGCACGGAATAAGTCTTTTTGAAGGCCATTGGTATCAGCGGGAGGAAGGGGGGGCAAATGAAGTCCATCTCCTTTTTCTGGATGAAAATCAGACCAAATCACAAGTATGTTAGAATAATTTGAAGATAGAATATGCTTGAACTATATCTTCTATACCTTTTTCACCAAGTACTCTTTCAATGGTTGTAACAAATTTGTGTCGTGTGCCATGATGCTGCCACCATCCTGTGATAAATAAAATAATAATGATACACATTGAGTAAATACACGAAAAATATGCTGTCGTTTGGTCGTGAGCAAATAAATATTACCTCGATGATTGTACAACTACTGACTTCAAGATTATCACTATTATTGTGATTGTTCTGAGCTTGATAAGCTTGCTATATAGTTTGAAAAATATTGATTATTACACGATCATATTTGATTATCAGTAGAATCTTTAGATATACCTTATCTTTAGCAAGTTCCGCCCAATTGACATTTCCAACGTCAGCTACAAAAGAAGCCTATGATATAATGTTGTGAATAAGAGCGATTGAGAATTAGAACAAAAAAAGTAATCAAAAGCTTATACTGGAAAGTATATTGGCTGCATGAGTATTGAAATCTTTCTTCAAGAGAGATTTGAGCTCGTCTGGATTTATTATTTCTGGAACATGCTGCAAGACTACATCCTTGTTCGAGTTGATGAATTGTGATAGTTTTGCAAAGCGTATCGCTGTTTTACACCACTCTAAGTAACCCTTCAGCTTGACTAATAAACATCAAAAAAATATTATTATACAGGATTTTTCATCTCCTAGCAGACGTTTGAACTTTTATTTAGGCAGAAGGGATTTCATTTTAGGCAGAGTAGACATGAATGTTAATCTGAGTGGACATGAATGAAAGTTAATCTGGACATGAATAATGATCGATCTAGACATAAATGAAAATCGAGCTGGACATGAATGAAAATCGAGCTGGACATGAATGAAAATCGAGCTAAACATGAATAAAGAATCGAGCTGGATATGAATATAAAACGATCTGGACATAAATATAAATCGACCTGGACATGAATATAAATCGATCTGGACATGAGTAAAATCAATCTGACAAAATAAAAATCAATCTGTACATGAATGAAAATTATTCTGGACAAGAATAATAATTAATCTAAAATAGACAACCTGGACATAATAACAGTCAACCTGGACATAGTATTAGTCAACTAAGACATAATAAAAGTTGAAGTAGATAATATATTAAGTGTAGCAAAGCAGAATATTTGAGTACTTATTAAGTCAAGACATAATAGAAGTTAAGCAGTACAAAGCCAATGTCACGATATAGTAGTATGGCTGTTTCACTTATGACAAGAAGCTTGTAGGCTAATGTACAGGAAATGGCAAGGGTGCGTCAAAGACTTACTACTGTGCGCATAAGCCTATTTTGCTGCTGTGGGAACGGGGCCTGAGCGTTTCCCCTCATTTCATTTTACCCGGGTTGAGTTTGAAACAAATTAGAGGCTGGTGGCTGAGGTAGGTGGAAAGTGTGGGGTTTGTTAGCAGCAGCAGGGATCTTTTTTTTTTCTCATTACTATTCGCCATGGCAAATCAACAGCTTCGACACACACTTGTAAATGGCTCCTACTCTCTTCACGATGAATAGAAAACAAAGAAAACAAAACGGCACAATCCACGGATTTATTGAAAAACGAAATGAAGGTAACTGTTTTCTTAAAAAAAGCATGTGCTCAAGCTTTATAAAGGAGTAGACCGCCGTTACTGCTGCTTAAAAAAACGCTGGATAAGTGAACAAGGGAAGGAAAAGGTTATCGGTTGTGCTTGAGGTATAGCTTTAGTGGAGATATGCCCATTCAGAATTACTGCTTCTTTCTCATTTTCTCTGTATGGGGGTTAATCCTTAATTGTAATTCTTTAAAAGGTTTTATTGATTAAAGGTAAATCATTGTTTAAAATATATATGAAAAAATAAAAATTTAGATTATAATTTTTTTATTTTTGAAACTTTTAACTTTTTTTTTAATTCTTTAAAAGTTTTATGTTTTGTATAAACTTTTTTAAACCTTTAAAAGAGTTATATCCTTTTATAATTAATTTAATACAGGCTAGGAGGTACGACGACGCCCAGTTCATTTAAAAATCAACGAAGTTAGATTTTTATTTGAACACTTGACAGTGAAATCCTTAACTAAAATTAATTTACTATTTACAGTAATATTAATTGTTATGGATTGAAACTCTATATACTTGATGCACCATCTTACACCAATCCAACGTCAAACTTACGTGTGTAATACAACATCGTCCTCTACCTGCACAAACCATTCGTACTCATAATAAGAACGACGCAACAATCTTCTTCTCCATTACTCAAACACAATCATATACAACATGGCTCTGATCCGCCATTGACTTGTAAAATATACAGCCTGACGCAATTATCTTTCACTATCATGTACGCCCATATTACAAGAGGACGACTATGACACCGTTCTTTTGTTTTCATACTTATACGTACACGCACATCATCATCATAGTGACAGGCATCTCTTTCTTTGCTGTATGTACATGCATCAATGCGATAATAAGTTTACTCTTATGATGTATACACACCACCACGACTATAATCCTCCTCTGTAATTCACTGTACTTGCACACACACGGTGACAACGACGATTGCCTTTTCCCTTTTGCATATGCGAATACAAACGTCACTGGTCTTGATGGATAAGGTATTTAGATATGCTGATGGATGGAATGTAGGGTTGTATTATTGTTACTGTAGATGTAATGGTTGGGATAAAAAAATAAAAGTAAAAGATCATACATTATGCCGTCATTATGTTTCAGTTGTCTGCATAAACGGGTATGAGATGGGATTGCATGTTATTACAAGTGCTTCTATAGATATAGCTGTCAGCGGGATGATAATATGGCAGGGACAAAGAAGAAAAGGCGTTCGTTGTTATGAAGGAGGAAGTTCATTTGCTATTACAACAGCAAGTTTATTTTTTATTAATAACAACAACTATGAACAACCAACAAGTTACTATTCTTGACAACATTCGCTACGCTCTCTCTCACTCGACTGTACGTGGAGTTCTTGCACTCATTCCCAATGAAATCGTGCGCCTTCTTGCTGCTCAATGGCAGATCTTTAAGGATCGCATCTCGGAATTGTGTGGCTACAAATGGGTTCACAAACGCGAGACTGTGAGTGGCATCAGACGCTCTACCACGCAATGCCAATAATTACAATAACCATGGACACTGTTCATGAGGCACTTGTAGACAAGTGTTTGGAATAACTACTGTTATTCTAGGATTATGACTACCGTCATAAAGACCAGCTACACCTTCAAAAAAATCAAAGATTTTTTCTTGGACCACCCCCATTCATAAAGATCATTCTTTTTTATTTAAAAATAAAACTTTAAAAGTAAACTAGCGGTCCTTCCTCGCTTCGCTCGGATGAATGAGCCCCTCCGCTTCGCTCCGTGTCATTCAACAGAAACGCGTCGCAAGGGGGTTCCCCCCTTGACCCCCAAGTGGGGGGCAAGCCCCCCAAACCCCCCTGTCGAGCGAGGTTGGATCAATGTTTTGGTATTAGATGCTTATTGTCTGTTTTCAAAAACAAAAGCAAGATCATTGTGCAGTGAGAAGTAGTCTATCATAGAAAGTCGTCAAAGTTGGATACTTAACTATCTCCAGTTTAGAATGCAATGCGAAAAGAAGTGTTGACAAAGATGATGTAGTGATATTGATAAAAAGAGAATAGGCGAGAAAAAAAGAGAATAGGCAATATAAAAAAAGAGAATAGGCAATATAAAAAAAGAGAATAGGCAATATAAAAAAAGAGAATAGGCAATATAAAAAAAGAGAATAGGCGATGTAGAAAAAGAGAATAGGCGATGTAGAAAAAGAGAATGGGCGATGTAAAAATAGAGTAGGTGACAAAAAGAATTATAGAAGAACTTCGTGAAAAACAACATTTCTTGTGCTTTGGCCTTGCTGACCCACGATACGTGAGTTCTCAGGATCTAACATGATTCTGATGGATGAAGGGGTGCGGACGCGCGACATGGCTACATAGAGTAGACCATGCGTGAACGGAGGTTCAGGCAAGTAGAGGCCGACAGTGTTGAAAGTTTGACCCTGTGCCTTATTGATGGTCATAGCGAATGCCAGGCGAACAGGGAATTGGGTGCGTTTGAAGAGAATGGGCGAGCGTGTTTGCGATGGTGTGAGTGTTATGCGAGGGATTAAGACAATGTTGCCAGCATGAGGTCCAGTGGCTATTTCAGCTTCAAGTACATATCTTTGAAAAGAGCGTACAATCAGCCGTGTCCCGTTGCAGAGACCACTTTGAGTGTGCAAGTTTCTCAAAAGCATGACTGGGCAACCGACTTTGAGTTTTAGCAAATGCGGAGGGAGGTCGGATGGATTCATGGAATTGAGTAGCTCTGGTGGGTATGTGATTTGATCCTCTGGATCATCCACAGTATCTGCGCTCGGAAATTCGTGGATAGTGCCTGGGAAATGGTCGAGTATCAGATCGTTGATTGCTAAAACGTCGACATTTTTTGGAGTTAGAATAGAGCGACTGATGAGGTAATCGCGATCCACGTGTGGTGCGTCAAGGCTGCCGTAAATGGCTTCGATGAGCTCGTACGTGTTGTAACGTGGCATGAGCATTCGTTCTGGAAGCCGGACTCTATCATCAGTGGTTGGCACCAACAGCTCAGCACCATCACCAATGCGAAGTAAATACTGAGCAAACTCGCGAAGCTCATTTGCATCATTAGTGTTGGCAGCTTGCTGGACGCGCATGTTGGTTTCAAGGTGGTGGATGGTGACGCTGGGCCAAATGGATGAACGATTTAAGCACTGCTGTACGATCTGCGAGCGCGACGCATTTGGTATCACAGGAAGGACCTATTATTAAATACTTTACTGTGAGTACTACCGCTTAATAGTAAAAAACATGCAAAGTAGAAGAGAGGATACAATGTTGAATACCTGGCGAAAGTCACCACCAAAGACCATGATCTTTCCACCAAACGGAACATCGGCAAGCGCGGGATCGTCATGTCTCATGAGATCCTGGATACTCCTGTTTACAGTCTCAATGACGCTTTTACTGATCATGGATGCTTCATCCCAGATGATCAATCTTGCCAAACGTATAAGCTGCGCGGTATCGGAGCGTGGGGTAAAGCTACACACTGTTGTTTCGTTGACCTCTAAAGGTATTTTGAACGTTGAGTGTGCAGTTCGTCCACCATCGAGTAACAAAGCGGCAGTACCACTTGTAGCTACAGCGAGCGCAATATCTCCGCCACGACGAACATGTTGGAGGAGTGCATTGAAAAGATATGTCTTTCCAGTACCACCAGGGCCATCCACAAAATGCACCTTTGGCTGATTTGCCGCTTGGCGTAAAGATGCATTGACTGCATTAAAGACAGATTGCTGATGCTCGTTAAATTCTTGTTGAGGAGCAGGCATCAGGGCAAGTCGTTCCGCAAGTCGACGGTGCTCACGAATCAACAAAGACTCATTGTTGGCATAATTGTTTGGGTTGGCTGGAAGCACAAACCCATCAAATTCAAGAAGCGATCTTGACAATCCAGAGAGCACCAATTCAATATCCAAAAGGCCTTGGTCATAAATGGCATCCGTGATGGGCAAATTTGGATCGTTTAAATCTTGGCGGGCTGTGTACAGAAAGTCTTCAACCATGC